CCCATGGGACATCAAGACACAACCCTAGGGCATTTTGTTTTGACATTGGGTGGGCAGTTTTGTGTCTTGTCTTGATTGCCGCGGAGTGTGAGGAACAATGTCAGTCCCCAGATAAGACCAGAAGCAAGGCATTCTTCCACCACTCCATCCGCAACAACAAGAGTCAGCGGAAAAATGAAACCTTGGCTTGAAATAGCCATTAACCTTTGGCTCTGTGAATTTTGCCATAATAAAATAATAACCCCTTACACTTTATGCTGTACAAAGCAATTTCACATCACAATAACAGTTTTTGAGCTCCTACAAACTATGGCAATCACTTTAGATTTATTATCCCCTTTTAACTCTCATACCAACCCTGGGAGTTAGGTCTTCATACCCCCCATTTTACAGATAACGAAGTGGAAGTTCAGAGAATGGATGTCATTTGCCAGAATCACAGATGGTAAGTGGCAGAGCGAGAGTTGGGACCCAGGTTTGTCTCCAGTTATATATTTGCCTCCCATTATTCCCCAGGACATAAGCCATTTTGGTGTCAAGAAAAGGATATGAGGCAGTAAGGAGGCTTATGGAGGAGAATGCCAGATGGAAGTTCATGTGCTGTGCCTGCTACGTGTGCCTGCCCACACACCTCAGAACCACTCTCTAAGGGGGGGGGGGTAATTACTATTCTCAAGTACCCACAAGCAGGCTGCGCCCAATGCCAACTGCTTTCTCATACATCATTTCATTTCATCTCTATCCCCTTCTGTGAGGAAGATATTATCCCCCTTTTACAGATAAAGAAATTATAGCTTCAGAGAAGCTAAATGTCTTATCTTATGTCGCAGAGGACCCAAGTGCCAGGGCTGAGATTCAAACCCAGTTCCATCTGACTTTAAAGCTCTGGGGTACCGTATGAGGTTGCCAAAAGCCACTCCAGTGGGGGTAGCTTGGGAATTCTGGGAAGGATTCTTGGAGCTGCCACTTTATCTGCTCTTATAGAACTGTCCATGTTCCCCCCAACATCCTCTGAGCCTTTGCACATTCTGTTCCTCTGCCAGAAATGCTCTTCCCTACAGAGTCTGCCAGGAAAACTCCTCCTCACTGTTAGAGACCCAGCTCAAATGTCATTTCTGCTATGGTAACTCTTCTGATGGCCTCCTCATTAAATATATACACATGTCTTTATGCCCTATCTATTGCCCTTCCTCTGAGTCCTGCCACGCCCACACACACACACCCCCCCACCCACACTGGCACACACACACTCACCTTGTGGTTCCCTACACAATAGTCCATATCCCACTGCATGGTGTCCAGAATTGACAGGTCTGAGATTTCGCCTACACAAGCTCACAGGCTGACCCGCCATAGTTCCACAGATGCCAGAGGAAGACACAGATTCCATCTTCACTCTCTGTCTCCAGCACCGTTAATGGTGACCTGCTCAGCAATGACTGCTGAGTAATGGAACAAATGAGTTCAAGGCCCACATCTTTGATGGCAGGTAGCTGTGGAGACGCAGATGATTGGTGTCTCTGTGAACGTGAAGAAGGAGGGGCGGTGACAGGAAGGATGGAAGCAACAGCAGTAGGTAGATTCAGTGGAGACCGGAAGCTTCCTACCCATGGACCAGTTAGCAGCCATGCGTCTATTTGTAAATACTGAAGTCCCCAGCTAGAAAATTCCTGTATATTCTTTTTTACAGACACGCGTAGCACTTAACTCTGTGTCCAGGAGCAGCACTCCATGACCAAAGGTCATGCAGCTTGGCCAGTTCCTCTTGGGACGCTTTGGAAGCCTTTAGCCAGTAAGAAGTTCAACTACCCTGAGGCCACCATGTGGAAAGACCAGAGAGAGTGATGCCTGAAGAGTGCCTATGGTTTCAGATCCAGCTGCTTGAGTGTCCCTAGCCCCCCATCACCACCATGAGAGAGACCCAGAAACGGCTTTCTTTCTTTATTTTTTTTATAAACGTATAATGTATTATTTGTTTTGGGGGTAAAGGTCTGTGATTCATAAGTCTTATACAGTTCACAGCACTCACCATAGCACATACCCTCCCCAATGTCTATCACCCAGCCACCCCATCCCTCCCACCCCCTCCCCTCCAGCAACCTTCAGTTTGTTGCCTAAGATTCAGAGTCTCTTATGGTTTGTCTCCCACTCCGGTTTCGTCTTGTTTCATTTTTCCCTCCCTTCCCCTATGATGCTCTGTCTTGTTTCTCAAAATCCTCATATCAGTGAGATCATATGATAATTGTCTTTCTCTGATTGACTTATTCGCTTAGCATAATACCCTCTAGTTCCATCCACGTCATTGCAAATGGCAGATTTCATTTTTTGATGGCTGCATAATATTCCATTGTGTGTGTGTGTGT